TATCAGACAGTCGCTGAAAAGGATCCCACCTGTACAAAGAACCGACGGCAGCTGGTGCAGATCGGAGATGCACAGGGCCAACGCTTTCGCCGAACACCTCGAAGGTGTCTTTACGCCTTTCGATCGCTGCTCACCGGAGGATGCTGCTGAAACTGCCCGTCTGCTTGCCGAGCCTTCCAGGGACGCCGATCCAATACCACCAGTGACTGAGGAGGAAACAGCTGAGCTCATAACCATCATGAGCATCAACAAGGCCCCGGGCGATGATGGTATCAATGCAATTGCATTAAAAATGTTACCACCTCCAAGCATTCAGCTAATTACGAGGATCTATAATAGATGCTTGGAGATAGGGTACTTTCCGTCCACATGGAAACGTGCCCAGGTAACTATGATACCTAAGCCCGGAAAACCCGAAGCAAACCTTTCGTCCTACCGACCAATAAGTTTGTTACCAATGCTCTCCAAAATACTTGAACGAATGTATTTAAGTAGAGCACTGCCAGTATTTGACGAGGCTGGACTGATCCCTGACTACCAGTTTGGCTTCAGGCGGCGACACGGTACGCCAGAGCAGTGCCATCGGGTAGTGCAGTGGATCCTGGACGCGTTTGAAACCAAGAAGTACTGCATGGCCGTCATGCTGGACGTGAAGCAGGCGTTTGACCGAGTCTGGCATCCCGGTCTTCTATATAAACTAAAGACTGGCCTACCCCGACCATACTTTCAGTTCCTAAAGTCGTTCTTGGAAGACCGTAAATTTGCTGTTAGATGTGGCGAGGCCATCTCCGGTATAAGAGAAGCTCACGATGGTGTACCCCAAGGCAGCGTTCTTGGCCCGTTGATGTTCAATGCTTACACGGCCGACCTCCCTGTTCTTCAGAGGCCTGACCTGCTCGCAGCAACCTATGCAGACGACACCGCCTTCCTTTCCACCGCCGATAGCGCATTGGGGGCAGCCGAAACGATGCAATTGCAGCTTGACTTGCTCAGCGACTGGCAAAAGCGATGGAACATTGCCGTCAATAATGAGAAGTCCACTGCCTCCACATTTTCTCTCTGCAAAGGCAACTGCCCTCCAGTTAACCTTAACGGCTCTCCAATTCCACATTGTCTACCTGGTACCTCCCAAGTACCTGGGATTCACCCTAGACAGGAGGCTAATCAAAGACTTCGATCCTTCTACTGGCTTATGGGTAGGAGATCGAAGCTGAGAACTTCCACTAAACTCCTCATTTACAAGGCAATAAAACGCCCAATCTGGACGTACGGCATACAGCTCTGGGGCACTGCGAGCAAGACGAATGTCCGAACAATACAAGCTTTCGAAAATAGAGCCCTTCGAATCGCCACTGGGGCCCACGTCTTTCATGACAATCGCAGCATCCACGAGGTTCTCAATTTCCCTTGGGTCAAGGACGAGATACAAAGAAGCAGCGCACGTAACATGCAGAGGCTTCATAATCACCCGAACCGGTTGGCCAGCTCCCTGCTGGACAACAGCGAGCAGCCCAGAAGACTAAAAAGGACACACCCGCGGGACCTCCCCCTACTACTCTAATTTATTTCTACCATATTAATATTTAAAATTATCTATAATAATTTTATATTTCATTCATTATATATCATTCATGATATATCATTATATATCTATAATGGACAGTTTTAAATAAACGTTACCCTGCTATTACAAAAAAAAAAAAAAAAAAAATGTATGCGGATGGTTGCCAATTTTTTCCGGACGGAGGAATTGCTCTTTCATATGGGAAATAAAGTCTCATATATGTTTGTACGTGTGTTTCTCCCATCATTGGCAAAGCCCAAATAAAAAAAAAATGTTTTGTATTTTTCCTATTCTCCTCAATCGTGCTAATCCGAATGCATTTTGTTGTTGGATTGCTGAAAACTGTTCACTGCAAGAAATTCATTCTTGTTTTTGTGTCTTCAAAATGGTCGACATGAAGCGATGAATTTCTTCTTCGCAGAACCTTTTTTAAATAAAAATTTATGCATTGATTGGCAAAGTATAATAATAAGCTGTTGTAAAAAATATAGAGCCTATTTATAATTGCTAAAATAAAATGTAATTTAAAACCCCTTGTAAATGTTACTATAATTTTATTCTTCAATGCATCGACATGAAAAAAATGGTGCAAAAGTATTGGTGATTTTTTGCACTGGTATTGGAGTTTGCTCAGTCGTATGCTGAGCTTGGGCATCGCTGCTTTATAACACCCTGCTTTTACGGGCACCCCTGTGGTCGGCACCCAATACAATAACACGTTTAGATGCATTAGAGCAGTGGTCGGCACGGCCTTATCCCGGGGGCATAAGAAATTTCTCTGCCCGAGCTCTGCCTCACACACACAGTTGAAATGTGTGAAACGTCATGCTCACAGCCTACTTTCTGCTTTTCGTTACTAATGCTAATGCGTATAAATAATATCAATGTATTGGGGTGCCGACCACTGCATTACTGTGAATAACGAATTGTCAAAGTCATCAATGTCAAAGTCTCTCTCAGTGGCTGAGAGCGTGCCATTTCTCTCTTTTCATACCCTTATAATGGTATTATAATGGCTATTATAATTTTGCACAAAAGTGTGCAAGGGAGTGAAGGAGACATCTCCGACCCTATAAAGTATATATATTCTTGATCAGGATCACCTCCTGAGTTGATATGAGCATGTCCGTCTGTCTGTCTGTCTGTTTCTATGCGAACTAGTCTCTCAGTTTAAAAGCTATCGACTTGAAACTTTGCACACACCCTTCTTTCCTTTGCACGCAGTATATAAGTCGAAACGGCCGGGATCGGTCGACTATATCCTATAGCTGCCATATAACTGATTGATCGGAAATGGTATAACTTTGGTGTTTTTAGAGTTAGAGAGTTCAAATTGGCACGACACCATATAACTGAGCGATCGAAAATGACCCAACTTTCGTGTTTTTGAAGATAGAGCACTGGAACTTAGTACAGATTATATTTTTGGTCAGCTTATCCGACTTACTAAATTTCATAAGGATCGGCCGACAATAACTTACAGCTACCATATAACTGAACAATCGAAAATGACCCAACTTTCGTGTTTTTGAAGATAGAAGGCTGGAACTTAGTACAGAGTATATTTTTGGTCAGTTAATCCGACCTACCAAATTTTCGTTTGACCTACGATCGACCGACTATATCTATATAGGCAGCGTTCTTGGCCCGTTGATGTACAATGCTTACACGGCCGACCTCCCTGTTCTTCAGAGGCCTGACCTGCTCGCAGCAACCTATGCAGACGACAGTAGCTCGGTAGCTGAAAAAAGTGCGATTTCGTTATCGGATTTTCGACAGCGGATTTTCGTCAACTCAGTACTAGGCTTTATTGAAAAGATAACATAAGTTTTTTGGACATTTCACATATAGAAACACATAATACAATCCACATTAAAAAGTATTAAGCCTAGTACTGAGTTGACGAAAATCCGCTGTCAAACGAGTGACAGCTGTCAAACTCCATATAAAAAAAACGGTGTAAAAAAAGGAAGAAGAAGAAATTTTTGGCTCCTAGATTTTGCCGGTACTGTGTTGACAAAAATTTTTGTTATCGAATTGAATGGCGTTGCCGGATCAAAAAAAAATAAACAGCTGATCTCGGGGAGTTGAAAGAACTAATTTTATTTATTTCTATAAGTGAAACATGGAGGCGTGCGAGGAGAAATTAAAATTAATTAGTGCGGTCAAGGCGAAACCCATAATATGGGATTTTACCCGCAAGGGGCATTTTAATGCCATAAAATGGCATTGAAATGATTTGTGATTGATTTTGATTTTGACCCAGTTTTCTATTTCTTAATCAGCTTCTTAGCGGCGAAATACATAAACAAAACACCAACATCCAATCGTTTTGAATTCATTTTTGCTTATTTGTTTTTGTTTACAAACAACAGCTGTTCAGTATTACCCTTTTCCTTAATTTTTTTTGGTCACACTAGCTCGGTAGCTGAAAAAAGTGCGATTTCGTTATCGGATTTTCGACAGTGGATTTTCGTCAACTCAGTACTAGGCTTTAGATTTTACGATTTTTTGGTGCGATTTTAAAAACGCGAATACTGAAAATTTTATGGACAAAATCAAAAGTTTTCAAATTAAAGCCTAGTACTGAGTTGACGAAAATCCACTGTCGAAAATCCGATAACGAAATCGCACTTTTTTCAGCTACCGAGCTAGTGTGACCAAAAAAAATTAAGGAAAAGGGTAATACTGAACAGCTGTTGTTTGTAAACAAAAACAAATAAGCAAAAATGAATTCAAAACGATTGGATGTTGGTGTTTTGTTTATGTATTTCGCCGCTAAGAAGCTGATTAAGAAATAGAAAACTGGGTCAAAATCAAAATCAATCACAAATCATTTCAATGCCATTTTATGGCATTAAAATGCCCCTTGCGGGTAAAATCCCATATTATGGGTTTCGCCTTGACCGCACTAATTAATTTTAATTTCTCCTCGCACGCCTCCATGTTTCACTTATAGAAATAAATAAAATTAGTTCTTTCAACTCCCCGAGATCAGCTGTTTATTTTTTTTTGATCCGGCAACGCCATTCAATTCGATAACAAAAATTTTTGTCAACACAGTACCGGCAAAATCTAGGAGCCAAAAATTTCTTCTTCTTCCTTTTTTTACACCGTTTTTTTTATATGGAGTTTGACAGCTGTCACTCGTTTGACAGCGGATTTTCGTCAACTCAGTACTAGGCTTAAGCTTATGTAAATGTTAACATCAACAGCTGTTTTTAACAGCTGATATCTTCGCAGTGGCGCCATCTATTAAAATTTCTGGTATGCAACATTAAAAATTAATCTATTGTAAATGATATGCAGTTAAAATATTTAAATTCTTTAACTTTCAAAAAATGGTTTTTGGCCAGAAAAAGTGGTCAAATTTTCTATGGTGCACTGGTTTAAACTGATATAAATTGTTAAAATTAAAATTTGCTAAACATTTCAGAGAACAACATCTACTTAACATTTTTGAAATCATCGTGGCTACACTAGAAGGAAAACTCAAGAGGATAGATAATCTTGATAAGAACATGGATCTTATGACACAGCGAATAGAGGGTCTGGAAACTTTATTAACAAGCAATATCGTCAAAACCGATTTTATTACATCCAAATTACTAAATTTGGAGTCACTTATATCTCATAAAAAGCATGCAGCAGAGGAATCAAAATTAAATATTATTAATGCAGCTAATAATTCCCCACAAAGTTTCTTGAATGCTACAATAAAGGAGAAAATTGAAAATTTAGACGAAAAGGTCACAAATATTGATAATAAGCTTGAAGTTCTAAAATCCCAGCTAGATAATAACTACTTGCAAATTGAAGACATTAACGGAGAGGCTAGTGAAAAAAATTCCGTTACAATGAATGGAATTGATATTTTAAAAAGTCTTAGCTCTGAAAAAATGGCTCATGTATCTTCAGAGTTAAGTGATCTTCGAGACACAACTGACGCAATCGATAGAAAATTACAATTTCACATAAACATAGTTTCTGAAAATATAGGAACAATCATGCGAATGATGCATGATATTTATATTTCAGTAGTCGATGAAGTTAAAATTCATAATGTTTCAAAATCAACAGTGGAGTCTACAAAGTCCAACAGATTTGTTGATTTATTAAAAAAAAATGGACCCGAAAAAATTGAGTGGGATGTTGTCGCTGATTCAAAACCTTCAGAAAATGATTTTCTTTCTAAAACCGAAGCTTATTTGAGTCAAACTCAGCGACAAGAACGTGCAATAGGAGAAATACATCCTGATCTTAAAACAAAAGCCAACTTAATTGTAAATAACTTTGATATGGGCGAAAAGCATTTACAAGAACAAGAAAAAGATTTGCAACCTTTTATGAAGCTTCAAGTTCCGTTAGAGCTTCCTCTGGACACAACTTCAGACCATTTACTGGATTTTAGCCCAACCAAGTAAGTTTATTATTGCCTAAATCTATTTTTTTTAACATTTTCTTTTCTAAGCTTTTCTGTTAAAGATGAAAATTTGTTGGAAACTAATTTGAAACTTTCTAAACCAGCGCAAAATACATTATATACAAATGTATCTAATACAGAAGAAAAGAGCAATCATGGAAATATGCCGAGTGAAACCACATACTCCTTACCAATATCTTCCAAACCAATTATTCGAAAGGGAGGAATTATATTTCCCAGTATTAAAAATAAGCCAGCAATTTTAAATAGTTCATTAAACACTGAAACTTTGACCTTAAAGGATATCAGAGTAAGTCCCATCATTAAGGTAGGTTGTCAGGTCTTACAAAAGAACTAGAAAAAAAAAGTTTAAAATGTTTCACAAAATTTAAAATGTTATAGTTCCCACTAGGCGGAACACATTGTAAAATTGTTTATTCATAATTGTAAATCGTAAAAATTTATAACGAATCTAAAAACTAGAAGGGAAAACTAACTTCGGTCGGAGCCGAAGTGGATATACCCTTGCAGTTACAACCGGATATATAACGCAAACATCGAATATAGTCGGCCGATCCTTTTGAGAAAATCATTATATAATCTAATTATTACAATAAAAATCTAAAAAAAAAGTCCAAAGATTTTTTTAAAAGTTTGTATTTGGTAAAAATTATGGTAGTTTGGATCTACTGACTAAAAAAAGAATCTGTACAAGGTTCCAGCTTTGTATCTTCAAAAACACGAAAGTTGGGTCATTTCCGATCGTTCAGTTATATGGCAGCTACAGGATATAGTCGGAAGATCCTTATAAAATTTGGTATGTCGTTTAATTTTGCAAATAAAAAATCCGAACTCTAACTCTAAAAACATCAAAGTTATACCATTTCCGATCAATCCCGACCGTTCCAACTTATATACTGTGCGTAAAGGAAAGAAGGGTGTGTGCAAAGTTTCTGGTCGGAAATAGTTGGTATAGTTTTAAATGTGAGAGACTAGTTTGCGTAGAAATAGACGGACAGACGGACATGCTCATATCACCTCAGGAGGTCATCCTGATCAAGAATATATATACCTTATAGGATCGGAGATGTCTCCTTCGCTGCGTTGCACACTTTTAGAAAAAACTATAATACCCTCTGCAAGGGTATAAATAGTTGGGTGCTCACACCGACAGTGTGCCGGCAGCGCAGCGGGAGCAATGCCGACCTTGTGCATGCTTGCTATGGAAAATGAGAGTTTGTCCACCACTGAGTAGAATAACAGATAATTATCTGTAATAATTGTTAATAATAAATAAATAAAAATTAAAAGAAATTCTTTAGGTCGGCTGCTGGACTTCTGTTTCGTTTCCGAACCAGATGAAATTATGCTTTCCACATGGTTGTTTCCAGTTTTGTGTAACCACTCAAAGCTCATAAATTTCGTTTCTTGCGTAGGCCGACCATTTTTCCACCATGGTTAATAAATTAAATGGTGTTCTTAGTTTTATTAAAAGATGGTCTAAAGAATTCAATGACCCCTATCATACAAAAACTTTATACGTATCTTTGGTCCGTCCAATAATTAAGTATGGATCGGGTGTGTAGAACCCTCAATACTGAGTACACCAAGATCACATCTGTATCTGAACCTGGAAAAAAAAAATTTCTGATTTGCTGTTAGAAGACTAAATTGGAATGCAAATCTTCACCTCTCTTCCTACGTAGTATACTTTTGTAATTAACTTCCCCGTACTAATAAACCGTAGAACAATGCTGCGTGTCGTTTGCTTGCACAACCTTGTCAATGTTGATGTTGCCAGCCATATTATTCTAAAAAGATTTAAATGTAATTTTCCTAGTGGAAGGACTTGAAACTTTTGTCCTCTACTTTTTAGCCATTGTAGATCGACAAATCCCCAGCATGATCCCTTAAGGGGCCCTCGATTTGGCAGGAGGGAACTGCCGGGGGAACTGCGCAAAAAAAAAAGCCGAATAAGAGTCCAGTGGTCTTATATAATGCACTAACTCTTAATAGTCATACTGCACACTTCAATATGTCTCTGTAGTCTGCAAGCTTTCCCACAATTCCACTTATTGCTCTACGAAGGTTAGGTTAGGTTTAGATTGCTGTCAGCTTTGGAAGCCGACGCACATAAACCGTATTCGGTCCCTTGTGATACCGTGTTTAGGATCTTCCCTTTCCGTATTATGGAGACTTTTTGGTTAGCAGTTCGCCCACCCTGGGGCTTTGGTGAATTTCTGTATCCTGTTGGGATTCAGAACTGCCACCTCTAAACTGTCGATGAGGAATCTGTTTCCCGGAAGTGTCAAAAAAGATTTTCTACTGTTTCTTCATCATCCCCGTTCCTGCAGGTAAGGCAACTGTCATTATGGGGTGAATTCATTCGCCAGGCATGTGTTCCACTAGCTAGTGCCCCATGATGCTCTGGTACCCGTGTTAATGTGGGTCCACATTATCCATCCTCAAAAGCTAGGATGTTTTTATACCCTTGCAGAGGGTATTATAACTTTTGTGAAAAGTGTGCAACGCAAGGGATGTTAAACTGTAAGGATTAGTTTAATCTAAGGGTACATTAACCGATTGCCACTACTTGCACTTGAACAAGATGGACGTGGAGAAACAGATGAGTTCAGAATACGTAAGTCTGATACTGATTTTACTGATATAAAACTGTTGTCGCGTTCATGCAGCAGCACAGCGGTTTAATGTTAATGTTTAAATGTTTATTTGCTTAGGCTGTGTTTTAAATGTTTATTTATTAGGCTTAAGTATGTACAATAGCTTAGTTGATCGCAAGCCGACCCTCTCTTGGCCGCTATACTCAACGGGCTTTCTTTAGAAAGCTGACAGTGTCTAGGTCGGGCCGCCCTTTCCATAATCGAGAGCTTTAGCTTCTCAGTGACCAGTCGGGCCGCCCTCTCTTTACATTGACTTGAGTCCCTGCATGCAGATAAGCTCGTCTATCTGCTGAGCATCCGGCTTCATCTGCATGTTCATGCAGATAAGCTGGTCTATCTGCTGATCATCCAGCTTCATCTGCATGCAGAAATAAACATTCAAAACGTTTTAAAATCACTTAAATTCGGCCTTTTATTTTGGTACGGATTATGTCATTGAAAACTCTCAATGACCAAGGACCTGTAATTTTTTAGCTTTGTATAGCTAAGATATTACATAAACATTACTTCGGTGGTAAATTGATGGAGATATAGAAAAAAATGCTAAAAATGCTAGAATGCGTTTACAATTGTGTTACAATATTTTTCGATTTCACCAAGGGGACATTCAGACATTCTGCTTCAAGCTGTTGTTGGTGTTATGTGTAGTCAGCATTATTTAGTGTAATTCATGACCTAGTATTTTGTTTATTGTTCATAACATATTGTAATTTAAAATTAAATTCTATGACTTAACATTCTCCCGGCCGTTGAACAGCTGTTCAACAGTCGTCTAGTTCTTCGGTGAAATTACTTGGGCCAGGTTCCGGAGTGGTAATTCTTTTGGTACCTTTTATTGTTGGAGTACACAACGATCGCTTATATCGCAAGATGTAGACATATATCAAACCAAGTATAATGATTAGATGGTCAATGCTGCGTACGAAATGTTTGTCGGTGGTCCAGTTAATATGGTGATGTTTTTCCGTTCATTACCGCTAATCAACGTTACAGAAACTCTAGTTTTGGGTCGTCTATTTATTGTGGTTGCGTGGGAATTGTTTCAAAATCGCATGAACGAAGTTCATAGTCAAACATTAAATTCGGTTTCATCAAGACCTATAAAGCGATCTCTATGAGCATTAATGGAAATAATTCTTGTGGAAGATTGTATATTGTCCAACTTTTTAAATTGGAATGGTACTGAACGATGCTGAAGACGTCTAATAACTCCAAAGACACCAACGGTATAACGTGAGTTATACGTTATTAAAGATAACGTGAGTGTCGGTTGTGCTGTCTTGTGCTGTCATTAGTTGATACAGATGAAGCACGTTAGTAGTGGCAACTGGACAGATCTGATGCATTAGTGCGGGATTGACGCATTAAGTTATTTCCAGAATCAAGCTTTGCGTACTCATGGTTATAATGGGCTAACATTGATCTGCAGGATGCCAGTCAATCCATCCGGGAGTACCTTTATTTCCATCCAATATGGGTCCAGGTCGTAGTAGACTATCATTGTCCACTGTGACTTTACCATTCTTGTTTACCATTTGCTTGTTACTAAGCTAAGTCACTTTTATAATCTGTGGCATGCCTAGTGAAAACAGTAACATAAGTATTAGTGACAAGCTTCCCCTTTTGCGTTGTATAGAGGCTCTTCAAACTGTTCCGCCTTACTAGTGACGTCCAATGATCACTTGTTGTTGATTCTTTCTGAAGTTTTGATGTCGACTAAATTATCGGATCCAGGATACGTTTTGATAACTCGTCCCATGAGCCAACTCATTACATTGTCTTCCCTTTTGTGGACTAGCAATCCCTCTATGATATTTTGAGAAGCATGCTTCTGTTTGGGACGTTGAAGATCCAATATTGTTGACCAATATATCCAATATATAGTATGTGAAGCTTGGGCACCACATATGTTTTTCATATAGTTCTCTCATGATCATTTTCACGATTGTTTCATTGTAGGGAAGCAATACAAGATGTTTTGCATCAAAAGCTAGATTAGAATGCTCTAATCTGCTCTTTTTATCTACGGTTTTATATCGTTTTAACTGTTTCAAGCGTTAAAATTCATCTGCTGAACTGTATGCATAATGATTGTGCGTGCTTAGCTCAATTGGCTCGCCTAGACATAGAGCTTCGTTGGCGTTCTGTAGGTTTTTAGCAGAATCTGAGCATGTATGATTTTCTACAAATGTGTGGTAAGTGGAAGCCGCTGTATTTATTCAACCCAAAACGAGAGATGAGTCTGTCCAAAAGTAGCTAGCAACTTTGTCTAAAGATAAGCATAAATCATGTCTGCTTTTTTCGTGAGCTCTGCCCCTAGAACTGCTGCGCACAGCTCCAGTTTGGGCAATGATTGCTTTGCTGTACGTGTCACTCTGGACATAAAACGGAATAGCCTTGCCGAGACTTGATTGTTTTTGTACGTTGATCGTACGTAATTGCATTCCCCCGATATGTGGTCGGGTTTAAAATCATTTTAAACACACATTTTTTGTTTTTTACCAAATCTCTTTATTTTAGATACAGCTTTAGCGCGGAAATCACCACATTTAAAAAAAGCGGGAGTTGTCGCTTTGCAAAAGTAGCCCTTGCCTTCCTTTTGGGTGAAGGCATTGCTTTTCGTGACCTT